TGGTGGCATAGTGGATTCCATTATGGACTGCTAACTATAAGGTCAGAGGTTCAAGCCGACCTATGGGAGAAAGATGGGACTTTCTGCTCCCATCAAGATTTATAGCCACAGAAACCTAAAAGGGAAGTTCTACTCTGCCCTATAGGTTTGCTAAGCTCAATGGCAGTGAGTTTGGGTTTTTGGCTTGAACTACTGTACTCAACAAACTAGGATATAGAATATTGTCTTTCTGGGTGTCCCCAGAGATCATGATCCTGAGTTTCCAAGCCCCATGATTTCATTTGCTGAAGGTGTTTGGCTATGTCTATGAGGTTTAAAAAAAAAATTGTCCCTTGAATGTTCCACCATATTCATGGATATACTTGCAGCATACATACACATGTAGAAATAAATTGTTTAAGATATTTATGAGTATAGTTCCACTGACGCTCCACACTGGGTTCAGCCTATGCAGTTATACATACCCCCACTCATAGATTAACATTATTGCAGGATTGTCTCCCCACTCATAGATTACCATTATTGCAGGATTGTCTATCTAAAAGTATTTACCTCTGTTACCTTTAACTCTTGCAGTATTGAAGAGTGTCCTACTAATTGTATAGAATTAAGGTGTGCTGCAATTGATAAATTGGTCCAGAGATATCTAATTCATACAATTCATTTTTTTCTTTTCTCTAAATCCTCACAATTTGTTCAATAACCAAGGTTGTATTGATGTTTCAATATACTTCACACCAAACCATAACCAGTCATTGGGTTGATTTTGACTCATAGTGACCTTATAGGACAGGGTGGAATCATCTTTCTCTTGTGGAGTGGCTGGTGGGTTCCCACTGCTGTCCTTATGGTTGGTTAGCAGTTCAGTGGGTAATCCACTCTACCCACCCCCAGCTCATATACTTAAGACTCCAGTAATTTCTCCAGCACTGTGAAGAACAGAAACACACGATCCTCATCGCAGCTTTAGAAGTCATCAATCAACAGATTTTTTAAAAAGCCATTAACTTCAGCGGGAGCCACGACTGTGGGCTGAATTGGTTTAACGAAAAGCCCAGTTCTGGCTTTTAAGGAATAATGGAGGGAAGGGATTGGAAAGCAGAGGCCTCCAGCATTGACTTAAGCAGCTCCCTTCACTAGCCAGGGAATAGCAAAACCGTGCTGCAAATGTAATGGGTGTATGAGGAAACGCACCTCGTGGTGAAGAACATGTTAAGATCAAAGTGCCTCTCGTATTAACAGTCTCGTCTATGGCGGTTATGAACCCCGCTTTGACACACACAAGGCGCTAGCTTGTTTTCTTGGGAGCCCCTGCTCTCGCTTCCCGGATGCTACGGCAGTTTACGCAGCAGGTTTCGCAGCGCCCCCTTGAGGCCGGAAGGTTCCACGGGCGACTGTCGCAGTCGCCTCCATCATTGCACCAAACCCTCCTCAGAAGCCCCTTTAAGCCTAGACCGTGGGCGACAAACGTCCAGCAAACGTTTCCATCCAGCCCCGACAAACGCTTCCCTCCTCTCACTTCAGGGCCCTGGGGGGCAGTCTCAGTCGAGGTGCGGCCCGTTTCCACCCCTCCTGCCGCAGGGGACCACGGCCAGGGCTGTTCCGTCCCCTGGGACCCCCAAGCCCCTCAGGGACCCGCAGCCTCACCCGCCGCCACCCTCGGTCCGGGCCGCTTCGGGCGGCTCTGCGGAAGAGCTGCACTCGATCCAGTCGGACTGCGGCCCCATGCCCGGCATCTCCTCCCCGCGTCCAGCCCAAGAGCCGCTGTCCCCCTGCCCTCAGCGCCGGGAGAGAGCGGGGTGAAGAGGCGGACGCCGGAGTGTCGCCCCCTCCAATGCGGTCCGGTCACTGCCCGAAGAGCTTCGGGAGTGCGGGGAGGGCTGAGGGGGAGCCTGGCGCTCCGATGGGGGAGGGGCGGGAGTGCCTCAGTTGATCGCGCTTCTGCACTCCGGCCTCTTTCGGTGTAAGGGATGCGTCACGGGAAGGGACGATGCATGCTCCCTACAAGAGGTGCCTTCTTCTTCGGTACTCCAGACCCTACGCGAATTTGCAAAACTGGAGTGTCGCCATTGAGGCCAAACATTCGTACGGAGACAGAGAACCAAAGCACCCAGCGCTGGGATGCCCAGCGTTATCCGTTAACGGCTATCACCTAGGCAACCAGGATTAGCTCCCAGCCTAACAGCCGATTTTTTTTTCTCAACTGCTTCTGCGCACGCGCAACTCCGAACCGCTAACCCTATCCCTACCGGCGTTTGTTTACTGAGCGTTCGCGCGAGATTTGGCCCGCGGGCCACGCCGTAGTGAGAGGTGTGGCAGAAGGGGAAACACGCCCCCCCGCAAGTGGATTGTGTTTGGACTGCACGTCGTGTTTCCGGAATTCAGCCGGCATTCCCGCGAAGGGTGAAGGGAGCAAGGTGGTCTCTCCTGCAGTGCTGGGCGACGGGCCGCGCGGGGAGTTGGGGTGGCGAAATGCCTCGGTATGCGCAGCTGGTCATGGGCCCCGCGGGCAGCGGGAAGGTGAGGATTTGAAGGAGAATTTTTTTTTTTTAATCTGGAGTTTGGGGAGGTTGGATCCTGAAGTGTGGGGTGGCGGCTGTGTCTCTTGGATACCCTGAGCTACCCTCTCTTTTGCAAGGGAGGGAAGATCATTGCTGGGGTTTGTCGGTTACTTTTGCCTCCCGTTTCCCTCTGAGGTTGGTCCTACTTCAATTTTACACATTAGGAAAACGAGAAACAGAAAGATTGAGTTTGGGGCCCAAGCCCACACAGCTAGGAAATGACAGCTGGCATTAGGACCCTTTTTCTATCCGTGTTTCTCAGCCCGATTGTTTTGAAGTATAGTTTTGGCCTTATACTGTGGATACTGCCCCAGCGAGGTGGAGAGTCCTTCAGGGGACAGGGGCAGCCCAAGCCTGTGCTTAACTCCTCTTCCTTGTGACATGCAGAGTACCTACTGTGCCACAATGGTCCAACACTGCGAAGCTCTCAGTCGGTCTGTCCAGGTTGTGAACCTGGATCCTGCAGCAGAGCACTTCAACTACCCTGTGATGGCCGGTGAGTCTTGAGCAGAGCCTTGCCCCTCTTCCAGGGCAGGCTGGGGCGGGGGTGAGGCGGGTCAGGCAGAGTGAGTTCAGTTCAGCAGGGAAGCCTTCAGAAGTCAGTTCTTCCTCTCCTTCCCTGGTTTCTGAAACATGATCTCAGCACACACAATGACCTGGAAAGGCAAAAAGGCATGCAATGACATTTGCTCACGATTCCATGTCTTGGTCCTCAAGGCAAGAATGAAAGTGAGGGAACTCCTCCCTCACCACCCTTTCTTAGGCCTGCTGCCGTGAATCGGATCGGATGATCACACTGGAAGTGAGCAGCCTAGGAATGTGTCTGTTGTTTTATCCTTTCAAAATCCCATTCAAATGTCTGTTGAACATTAATGTATGCTCTGCACCAAATTCCAGAGTCAGAGCAGAGAACAAGACAATCCTATCTTTGCCCTTGATAACTTTTAGTGGAGGAGATAGGTAGCAAACAAAATGGTAAACATACTACAGACTGTGTCAAGGGCTGTAAGCATGGGAAGGAGTATCTAGAGGAGGTGGCTTGAGGGAGGATGTCTGTCGGAGCCTGCCGACGAGTCGAATGGTCCTGAAAGGGGGAGTGAGGATTAAGGAAAAAAAGAGAGACAGAAAGTATTGGGAGGGCAACAGTGAATGCTGAAGCCCCGAGTTTATTCTACATCTTCCTTTCATACATGCAGAAACAACCCGGAGTTATAATTAGTTTATTATCACAATATATCAGAAACTCTAAGAGTCTTTGATAAAAATTAAACATTCTGTTTTCCCAGAACTTGCATACATCTTTGTTCTTTATCTCAGTCTCAATGTCAAACTGCAGAAGCAAACAGCAGATACTGACACCTGGGTCATGATATCGCAGCCGTTTCAAGGCTGAGTCTTAATGGCCTTCAGCAGATGTCTCTGAAGAGAAGGTGTTTACATCTTTCTGTCTGTCTCAGTCTTCCTATCCCACTTGCGGACCAGAATACTGTACTTGGGCATGCACCTGAGCCAACAAGGTCTCCCCGACTGGAGAATCACGTCACTTCCTGGCCTAAATGTCCTACAGTACAGACTCACCAGTGCCCTTGATGCATCCTTTTAGGAAATCAATTTTAGTGTCCCAATTTAGGTTAGTAGTTTTAGGCTGAGGAAAATGTTACTCTGGTAAATCCTGAAAAGGTGGAACGTAAGGCTGAAACCTGTTAGAGCAGGAAAACTCAAAATATTTCCCATTAATAGCAGTAGAGGAGCCTGGTATATGGTTACAAGTTGGACTCTGATCTGCATGGTCAGCAATTCGAAACCACCAACAGCTCCAAGGGAGAAAGACTGAGCTTTCCACTCCCTCAAACCGTTACAGTCCTAGAAACCCCTAGGCAGTTGCTATGGGTCAGCATTGACTCGATGGCAGTGAGCTTGATTATTAGAAAGGTGATAAGACTGCAGCCTGTCAAGGGTAGAAAATTTAGATGGCCGAGAAAAATAAGACTGTTTCTGTTTAGTACCAGCACACACAGATTTTCATTGTCATGTATAAGTGAAGCCCAGTTCTCCATGAATGGAGGTTGTAGGTTTGACTGCAGAACAAAAACCTAAGGTAGAAGATTATAAGCACTGATTCCTGAAGATTATTAAAAGGAAGAGAACCACATACCAGGATTTTTGGCCATGCCGTTGGTTAAACACTGATTGGACTGTGAACCAAAGGTCAGTAGTTATACCGACCAGCCACTCTGTGGAAGTAAGATCAGGCTGTCTGCTCTTATAAAGCTTTACAGCCTCAGAAAACCTGTGGAGAGTATGAGTCAGAATCAATCCGTGGGATTTTACAGGTAGCTTAAGGTTCTTGGGTAGAAATGGTTTGCAATCAACCACTAACCTAAAGGTGTTACCATGAGTTGGAATTGACTCAATGGCAAAGCATGTTTTTTCCCCTTAATTGATGGCTTGGGGACACTGGCAGAAATCTTGCTTCTGGTGCAGGATTCCTAGTTCAATATCCGACCAGTGGACCCCATGTATCCCTACCACCCATCAGGCTTGTGTGTTACTGTGATACTGAACAAGCTCACCAAGGCTTCTAGATTAAGGTGTACTAGGAAGAAAGGCCTGGTGGTCTCCCAGCATACCTCATTGTATTGTTATTTCACAGACAATTGCAGGTTTTTGGTTTTGTTTTTTCACAGACTGAAAGTTTGTGACAAAGCTGCAGCAAGCAAATACGTCAATGCAATTTTCTCTACAGCTTGTGCTCACTTGGCATCTTTGTATCCCATTTTGCAAATTTTCACAATATTTCAAACGGTTTCATAATGTTGTTGTATACTTAATAGACTACTTCTCCACCAACTGTGATTGCGTTGAGTCCGCCGGTTCATCATGAGCTTATAGGACAGGGTACAACTGTCCCTGTAGATTTCTAAGGCTGTACATCTTTACAGGAACAAAAAACCTCATCTTCCTCCTGAGGAGCACCTGGTGGGTTTGAACTATTGACCTTATGGTTAGCAGCTCAACACATAACCCCCTATGCCACAAGGGCTCCTTAATAGACCACAGTATGACCAAAACCTAACTCACTGTTGTCACGGAGTCAATTCCAACTCTGACCTTTTAGGACAGTAGAACTGCCCCCATGGGTTTCCAAGACTGGAAATCTCTACAGGAATAGAAAGTCTCTTTCTTGTGGAGCAGTTGGTGGTTTCAAACTACTGACCTTGCAATGAGCAGCCCAACTTATAACCCACTATGCCACAAGGGCTCCTTAGACCACAGTCTAGGGTCAACAAAACTTTCACATGCCTTGGGAAACCACATGGTTCCTGTGGGTCACTATGTTGCAATACTAGCATCATTGGGGTGATTGGGCCCTGATCCTCTGAGCCTTGTAACTTTCTGCAGACATCCGGGAACTGATTGAGGTAGACGATGTGATGGAAGATAGCTCCCTGCGGTTTGGTCCCAATGGAGGGCTGATATTTTGCATGGAGTACTTCGCTAGCAATTTTGACTGGCTCGAGAACTGCCTAGGCCACGTCGAGGATGACTATATCCTGTTTGACTGTCCAGGTAAGTCAGCACTTGGAATGAGTCCCTGCCCCAGGAGTCAGCCCACTTCCGTCCTCGTTTATGGCTGGTTCTTTGGTCGTGTGGACCGAGGGTACTGACTGGAAGGAAGCACTGGGAATAGAGCAGAGTGGGAGCTCAGCCCTCCAGGGGCTCTCCAGCGGGGGCAGGGGGACGGCGGCGCCGGCTGGTGGAAACAGAAATCACCCAGTGTTACTCAGTGCCTGACTGGGTGACAGGTGCCCCACAGGAGTAACAAGGAGACCAGGGAGGCTTCTGGTCAGGTGGTCTGTAAACTGAGGCAGAGGGGTGCAGATAAGGGAAGAGTAGGCCAAGGGGAGGGCCCCGCAGGCTGAGGGCCTTGAGACAAGAAGGAATGAGGTGGGTTTGAGGGACTGACAAGGCCAGTGCATGAAACATGCCTGGAACATGGTAACCAAAGAGGAGGTGGGGCTAGATTGTCATGTGTGGCAGCTTAAGCCACTGTGCATTTTAGACTGGAACCTGACATGGCTGAGGTCACTCGTGACCCTCCCGTTTCTCTCTCACCTTGGGTGGGGCATGCCTGTAGGAGAAGGCCCACCCACATAATAGTGGGCAGCGAGAGAGTCTTCCCAGACGACACACCCCCAGGTCCCACTCCCTACTGAACAGAAAACGGAAGCATGCTAAAGCTCATTTTTGCTTGAAATGGAGCATGTGCTTGGGAGCCCCAGGGTGGCCACCTTGCTTTTATGAGTGCTTCAAGAGGTGGCAAAGCCCTTTAATAATCCTGCATACCCCTGCCAGGCGTTGACTGACCTATACTTTTGCAACCTTCTGAGGAAAACGTGTTTCCCTTGTATGACGTGCTCACCAGTGTGCTGCTCTCCCTGCAGGTCAGATTGAGCTGTACACTCACCTGCCTGTGATGAAGCAGCTGATTCAGCAGCTGGAGCAGTGGGAGTTCCGAGTCTGTGGGGTTTTCCTTGTGGATTCTCAGTTCATGGTTGAGTCATTCAAGGTAGGAGGGCAAATCCACCGTGTATTTTGAAGTTCAGGGCCCTGGTAGAAGGGATTGTCCAGGCATTCCAGAGTTATTTGTTTCATGCACCGCATTGACGATGTCCCATTGTGGTACCAACGGTTACTATGTTCACGTGGAGTTCAAGTCCACCTGAAGGTGCCTCAGAAGAAAGGCCTGGTGATCTGCTCCAGTGAAAACCCTGTGGGGCACAGCTCTGCTCTGACACAGATGGAGGCTCCGTAAGGCAGAGCCGGCGCAAGGACAGCTGGTTTTACTGGTTGTGGTGATGATAATGTACTGGTTGTGGTTATAACCTGATAAAAATGTAAGGTGTTCTGATAAAGCCATACCAATTTCGAGACACTAGCTATCAAGAACGTGGCAGTGTGTATTTATAAAAGTCTGCTTTTAATTAGCTGAGAACCTTATCCCCAGTTCACGGATTATCTGAAATGTTTATGATCCACCGTAAGTTTCGTTTTGTATAAATCGCCCTTGAAGGATATTCAGGGGCAAAGGAAGCAGAGACGCTGTCGGCATTAAGACCATGATGACCGGTGGCAAAGTGGACTGCACGTTGGACTGCTCACAGGTCCGCAGTTTCAACCCATCAGCCACTCGGGGAGGAAACAGGAGGCATTCTGCTCCTGTGAAAAGTTTGGGTTCGAGTCTGCCCTCTGGGGTGGCTGGGCTGGACAGCAGTGGGGTTTTTGGTTTGGGTTGGGTGAGCAGATGAGTTTCTTTGACTTAAGCCAGTTTTGCCTCCACCAGGGAGCAGTGCCTTCTTTTAGACCAAGAAGTTTACTGGCACAGTTTATGCATCTTCTCTTTTCTGTTTCCTCCTCCAGTTCCTTTCTGGCATCATGGCAGCTCTGAGTGCAATGATCTCTCTAGAAATTCCACAAGTGAACATCATGACGAAAATGGATCTGCTGAGTAAGAAAGCTAAAAAAGAAATCGAGAAGTAAGTCCTTTAGACTGTCTTAGTTGTCTAGTGTTGAGAAGTAAGTCCTTTAGACTGTCTTAGCTGTCTAGTGTTGCTATAACAAAAACATCACAAGGGGGTGACTTTCGCAAACAGAAATTTACTTTTTCAGTTAGGAGGGAGGAGAGTCAGCTCTAGAGGAAGATTTTTCCTCTTGCAAGCTATTGGGGGAGCGCCGTGTCTTCCCTTCAGCTTCTGTCCCTTGATTCCTTAGAGAACTCCTGTGGGTGGTATCTCTCTTCCTCCATCTGTGCTTGCTTGTCTGCTCAGTCTCCCCTTCTGTATCTCAAAAGAGAATGATTTACGGCACACCCTCTACTAATAAATCCAGCTCAGTTTGTACTGCCCTGTTAGCATAACAAAGAGAGCCCATTCCCAAATAGAATTTTAGCCACTTGTGGTGGGCATGGGTTAGGATTTCTGATGCGCATTGTTGAGGGACATTTGTTACCAGTGCTGCTTGTGGAGACGCCCCTGCTAAGTTTCACTTACCTGTGATGCTGGTGCTCATGCGTTTCCTCCCAGGTTGAGCCTTTCTTTCTCCCCTTTTAAAGGTTTCTAGATCCAGATGTGTATTCTTTGTTAGATGATTCTACAAGTGTCTTAAGAAGCAAAAAATTCAAGAAATTGACTAAAGCTATATGTGGATTGGTAAGTTTATGCCCTGGCTTCTTTCAAAGACTTGCTGGTACCATAAAGAGGAATGAAATGCACAGTTTTGTCTGTTTTGAGAAAAGTGGCGTGAGGGTCCCCTGCTGTCTCTGGTCCTGTCTCTGCACCCACTAGGACAGCTTTTGGTGTGGAAGATGCCCTGAGCTGCAGGGGGGGGTGTACCCCACTGTCCTTCTTGTCTCATCATCATAACTTAGCAGCACACAGAACTTGTTGTTAGTTGTTTTTACAGTCAGCAAGTTAAATTAGCTTTATTGTGTCCATTCCCACCTTAAAGTACCTCAGAAGAAAGGCCTGGTGATCTACTGCCCCCCCCC